ATAACTCGGTTTCTATGGTCAGTATAGTGGAGTGACTGGATGACTGAGAGTCAGGCTGCAATACTTCCTCTGATATAAATGTGAAATTCGAATCACCTTCACAGAAGTCTGGCAAATGCACGAAGAACAAAGCATGTAGCGGGGAGCAATGGACTTTCTGGCACTGTCCGAGACTGCAACCACGCCCATTTTTATCGTCTTGACAGCGTCTTCATATCGACCAAGGTGGGTAAAGGATGAGAGACTACGGTTAACGCTGCACAAGTCTGCCTCGTGTGAAAATTACTATTATCGCGCTCATTTCATGAGACGCAAAGTGGGCATCATCACTGGCGACGATCGAACTGTCGCATTTTAGGGATTGTAGGAATGTCGGTCGCGCAAACGTTGTAGTGAATCCGATAGTGAATAACTCGACCAATCCGTGAGACAAACGGTTGTTGACAACGGCAACGTATCTAACGTGGTTGGGCTATATCAAACTTGGTTCAAGAGTCTCCAGTTTTGCTTTTTCTCTGACCTCCCGTACTCGGTTGTCCCGAAGATGATATTTGCCGTCGTTACAGTAGATCAACACGCTTGCCATCCTGCACAAGTGTTTTACAGGACCCTCCGTTGACGTCGAGGCAACTTAATTCATCCACAAGATTATCTTGTATCGTCCTGACTGTCCCCCTGCCCACAACTCGACTATGTAAAACAGCATTGACATTCTTACGGTGCCGTCGTTCCATAAAATGTTCATATAATCCAGTACACCAGCTGTTTCTGGGACATTTGGGAAGCCGGGCGCCTCTCCTTCCACTTCACCTCCAGTATTCTACAGAAGTTAGGTGACAGTGGTTCATACTTATTACATGACCACAGCCCACTGCGCATCTCAACGTCCGGTGGGCAACAGCTTTGCACATCCAATTCCGTTTTGAAAAGGCTGTCACGGCGATTATGAACCAAGTGCTGAAATATACCGAAAACATGGCTGGCTTTCGAGATTCTGGCGTATTTACTGTGCGCAAATTCGTCCAGGCTGTTAGAGGAGTAACCTAGACACTTGCCAAAAGTTCGCTGTACTGCTCACATGACGCAGTTTGACACCTGACAACAGTATTCTCCGTGCTGACGGTTATTCCAAAATTGGGAAACCCAGAAACAAACAGGTCCAGGTCTGGCTGTATGTCCAATTCGGTCGCGGTTTTCAGCAAAAAATTCTTTCACAGACAAGTTGCCGTGAACCTTATAACAGGCTACTTTTGCTTCAGCTTGCATACGCCGAATATTAAGCAAATTCCAGTTGGTTCAATAGTTGCTGTCGATTCCGAATCTGCCGTCACGGTTGGTATCCTTCAGCACATCGGACAAAAAGAGGGTGAATACTGTATGAGCGAGTGCGTAATCCTGCGGAGGCTACCGGGCAAAAGTAGCTTGTGTTGCCCCACTCATATACCCCTATTCCCAGGATTTTGTCCTGCAAAAACGGTGGTTATAGAATTTTGTGGGGTGGGGAAATGGGATGGGCAGGAATTTTTTAGAAATAAGTGTAAAATGAAAAATGTAGTCGAAGTTGCTTCCCGTGGCCACTGGGAGCAGGTTGTTCCGCATGTAAATTGAAGGTG